AAATTTTTTAATTTAATTTTAGGAGATCAACACCAGTCCTATATACTATAATTTATATCTTCTCGCGATTTTTAAATTTAGTTTTACGTTCCAATATTCTAGTCAAAACAAACTGTTCAACAATATTACCACGGTTAATCGTCTTTAATTCTCTCGACAGGCAATAATTGGAGCAAGTGAACTTTTCTGAAATTATAAAATTATTCTTACATAGTAAATGAATATCACGTTGCAAAATTAATGGAGAAAAATTTCTAAATACCATAAAAATTCTCAGTCTATTAATTTGACTGAATAGTTTAATAATTATGTAAGAGATTTATTACTGATAATTATGTAAGAGATTTAACTTAGTCAAATTAATGAAGGATATTTTTTTGTATCCTTTGTAAAAATCGAATAAATTGCAATTATTTTTGCGGCCAGACAATACTTTCTATCCACGAAAGATATTCAGACACTCTGGTATAAACACCAGGAAATTCGATCCCGAGTCCGTAACTATGACCGAAACTGGTGATACCGATCACTTTGTAGAGACATTTGCTTTCAGTATGTTTTATTTGCAGAGGACCACCGGAATCTCCTTCGCAAGTATCCGTGGTCCAGTTATTTTTTATATCTCCAGCGCAAATCATATTCGATGTGATACCGTACGGAACTTCTAAGGTACCATTATGTCGTTTTGCACATGACGCATTGTCTATTAGATTCAGCGAGGCCTTCTGCAACCGATTGTTCGGCTCTCCGGCTTGAAAAGACAATAATATATACAATAATATAACATAACATAAATTAAATTGATATATTGGTATAAAAATTTTTAACCCCCATAATAAAAGGGTTTTGTACTTTATTGTCAGGATTTCTGCAAGATTCTTAATAAATATAGAGCTCTTGGATATTTAGATTTTCAAATCCATTTAGCTCTACAATTCTTTGTTCAAATTTTGCGATTCCGTAGTTGTCGTAACACGTTTTCGCGCGAGGAATTACCAGATTACCTACCTAGTTCCATGGTGCCCCAGCCGCTAACCCAAACCGGAGTATTTTTAGGAACGATATCGTATTGGTGATAAAGACACGCGGGTCGTATGGCTGAGTTAAACGTGACAGCGTCCGTCAGCTGCATAAGAGCTATGTCCGCATACAACGTAGGTGGATTGTAATCCGGATGTGTTATTGTATCTTTCACGAGAACTGTGGTGCCGAAGTCTGTATCATGGCCCATCAAATTGCGGAAACCTATCCTCGCGACAGTTGGACCGCCGCTGTAAAACAATGTATATTGTATGGGATTAATTTTATTGGTCATCTCATAAATAACTGTAGACTTAATCTTACAGATTTTTTTAGATCCATAATTTCTAATATATTTAAATATTTAAAAAATCAATAGGCATTTAATAAAATTCTTTAACTTTCTCTTTATAATATACTGTGTCAAAAACACGTGTAAAAAAAATACGAATATTTTCAAATTTTGAAATTTTGTTTGATTTTATTCAATAAATAATGCAATAATAGCAGATGAAAAACAAAAGGAACTTTTTTTAATGGCAAGTTATAGTTTAAAGCAAAAAAAATGAGAAGAGTACCTTGGTCCATGAGTGCAGTGCGCAGCGGTAAGTACCCAGCTATGTGAAATCAGCGTGCCGCCGCACGTCAGGAAGAAGTCAGTAGTAGTTTGTGTGCCCAGGGCTACCATGTGAGTGAACTCACCCTCCTCAATTACGTCTATACCTTTGATCAAGAAAGATACTATAAATTTACGACAGGTCTCGAGCACTTCGGGTTTGCCCGTTATAACATTGATTCCATATCTGTAAACTGTGTCCATAATTTCTTCCGTATATTCCTTGCATTCTGAAATTTATTTTTTAAATATTAT